TTATTATTATTATTATTATTATTATTATTATTATTATTATACAATACAGTGACAACAATGACACTCTTTTGTTCTCATAAAGATATTTTGCCACAAACAGACATGCTGAAAATACAATGTGTCACCATAAAGGGAAGCTGTTTCATTTTTAAAAGATGTGGTAGCTAATGAATCCTTTGGATCTACCCTAAAAGTCCTTGCAAAAATATGGATGTGTAATTGGAAATGGGGAAAATGAGGTTATTGGAGTGGGAGGAAAGGGAATGCTTTTAGAGGGGAAGAGTCTAGGTGAGAGGAATGAGGGCAAGAAGAACGGGGAGTTGGAGTTAAGACAGAGGGGAGCGATGAGAGATATAGAAAAACGAGGTGAGAGGAGGGGAAATAGATTGAAAATAAAAGATACATAGGAGTAAAAATAGAGCAGGGAGGAAATGATGATGCAGAGAAAAGCAAGACTTCGTTTTAGTGAAGGTAAGAACAAAATATGAGTGAAAAAAATATTTTCCTTTTAAACCTTAATTGGAAATGATGGCTTTCAGTATTTTTTTATGTGCAGAAGGAGAGGAAAGCATGGACAAGTCAAGATGCTGACACAGTTAATGGTATAATACATAATGGTAATAATAAATATTAGAACGAAAAAACATAGACCCAGCTGGAAATTCGAACTGTAAGCAAAGTGTTTTGGCTGATTACCTTATAATTCTGACAATCTAGGCTGCTTTTATCAAATGTCTGTTTAATGGAATGTTGTCATAATGGCCCTTTGAAAAATATGTATCAAGAAAAATCCATGATTCAAGTTATTTCTATGCAAATCTATATTTTTCCATGAATATAACTGTTTGTTGCTTCACTGGACACATGAGGCTGTACTTGATTGTGATTTTTGTATTCGTTTTTTTTATTTTATTCAAGCTGATGCATGACTATTCAGAGAGGTTGTAGGTTAGAGGTTGTTGGGTTGCAAGGGCGGATGACTGATTATAGATTACATGTAAATTGCGTGTGGGTATGGAAACACAACATGAATATTAATCTCCTTTGTTCTTTTAAAAAAGAGAAATTTCATCCATTTTTATATAACATGTACATCATCTTTGCTTTTAACATTTATGAGTAAATCAAAGTACAAATTTGCCACACCAACTGAGGCATGGTAACACTATTTGATATGCTCGTTTTAATTAATCTGTTGTTATCCAATCTTAGCTTGGAGATCTTTCATGGGATATTGCAGATTTGTTCAGATAGTTTGCTCTTAACGCAGTATGCATCTGACAGCTTCGTCATCGTTATCTATCATTTGTTAATTTGTCAAAGTAATCCATTTGACCTTTCAATATTAATGCAGCTCATTTGTGGTTGCATGGGAAAGAGATGCCAGGATCTGTGTAGTCGCTTAGACTGAAGGACGGGATCGGAATTGGTGTGAAATCCCGGGAAGAAAGATGATCCTGTCAGATTCTTTATCACTGATATGATGTCAGCTCAAATTAGTGCTGTCCCCACGCCAGTGACCATCCAAGCAGAGAAGATAAAAAAGAGAGTTGGCACCTTCTGGTGCTTTTACGGAAAAAGGAAAGCTCAAAGCAAAAAAATAAGAAGTGGAAGTGAAGTGGAGAGAAGAGAATACAGCAAAATTCAAACGCAGCATACTGCACGAACAGGAGCTCAGATTTATAGTGAGTCCTAAGATCCATTATTAAAGATAGAAATAGGACCAAAATATAACTCATACACCTTTAAGCTATTTGAAATAAATCCTAGCAATTTATTTTCAAAATGCTGTAGGGTCTCAAAAGCTATTTTCTCTTGCTAATGGGAAAGACAAAAAATCATTTGGAAGAAATTTTAGCTCCTTACAGGGAAGGTCGGACATTTATGAGACCAGTACTGAAAAACAAACAAGAATCAGTGTTTGGGAGCAAGCTGTACTTTGATGAATCGATAATATTGGTGGATTAGATGAGGATAGGAGAGGATTGGATGTTAATTATATGACGTTATTAGGAATTTGTAACAGGGTGAGAGGAAAATGCTGGCAGCTTTTTGGGTGTTGGTTAAAAATTTGTTTGAACGTTTGCAAATTCCCCAAATTATTGATGATACAAGGCTCAATGTTAACTAAATGACCAAGAAGGATGGCAGTCATTAGGTTTGTAGTGTATGCCCAGGCACACATTGAAAAATACAAATTTTCTCCCTCATGTCTCATGTCTGGCAATTATAAGTCAATTTTCAGGTCAATAATGCATATTTTCAAAGATCAAAAAGCATGAAAGCTTAAAAAAAATCATTCAGGAACATGTCATGCATTCTGTTAGTTTTAAGTATTTTTGGCAGTTTTTTACTGATGATGAATGAAGTAATTTGTTGTTACCACACATTTAAAAGTAACAAAACGTGGAATGGACCTCAAAGTGCTGTCCGAGTGATGCCCGAGTCACAACAGCAATTTACCAAATTGTGTCAAGATTTTCGACCAAACGTTCAGTGAAAGAGTTACTTATTAGTCTTAATGTGGGACCATTTGGAAGTCAATCTCTCAAGTGAAATAACTCACTTATGTAGCTGCCATAGCTCATGAATTCCCTCTTTGACAACATCACACGCTTTCCAGACACCTGATTAATGTGATAGATGCTAAAAGATTTCTTTTAATAGAGGCATTTTCTTGAAGGCAATTTTGGGAAAGTTACTTCTCCCTTTTCTGCAGCTTTCAGGAAGATGATTTATCTACCACAACTTAAATGCACTTTTTAATAGGAATTTGTAAGATAGTAGTCGAGGGTTGAGTTTGGCGGAGGACACAGAGGTGAAAAACTAAAGTTTATCACCAGCTAAGACTGTTAAATTGAAGTGTCAAAACAGTGTAAGGGACTAAAAGACAAAGCTGACAGTACAGTGGGTGTATCAAATGGCAGACGAAAAATTAAGAAAATAAAAAACAAGCCTGATACGGAAAGCTGACTTGATCACCTGGATGACAATAAACTGCTAAATAGGTTAAAGCCACCTGGTATTAAAAAAGGGCAGCTGTCACGGTCTCCCATTATTGTCGCCTTGGTTTCATGACGTCAGAGTAAGTCAGAGATGAGTCAGACACAAATGCCACTATGACCGGTGATTGAGCCAATTATTATATTCATCCCATCTGGATTCAGCACTGTCACGTTACACGTCTGTTATTTCCAGCAGCAACCCTGCCTGTTGAGCAAATTAATTGAAACATATCCTATGAATCTCAAAAGGGCAATTGAAGTGTTGCCGTATGAATTGATAATCACCATTAGTCATTAAACTGTCATTTCATGGGTTTTTAAAAACATTTTTGACTCAGTGCTACAACACACTTCCAGACAGAGATACTTTTCTTTTGAAACATCCTTTTTAAGATAACAGATTTAGATACTAACAATGCATTAGCCCTTTAAGAAGTGGAACCAGAACCTTTTTTTGCACCTGGATAAGAGTTTTTGTTCACTCTATTTTCTGTTTTTTTTTTACATTGTATTTTACTGTATTAGGACAAAAAAAATCTCATGACCAAGAATAAGATATTTTAAATAAAAGGCAAAGCTTGGTAACAGTTGCCTGATACAATTTCTTTGCATTTTGAAGAATAGAATAACGAGACAGTGTGACAAGATTAAAGGAGACCCCTGGTTATGGATCAAAACAAATATTTCTGAGGAGTCTAACATTTTGATGCTGAATTGAAATATTCTACCATCAATGAAATCCAAATAAACACCATTGATAAAGTTCCATAGTGACTCACAGGACCCTCTGCTGAACAGCCAGCCCCCCCTGGGTCACTGTGAGATGTTGAAAATGAGTGGGATGTGTTTCAAGTGTGGAGTAATGGGCCTCCTGCAGGGTCTCTGCAGGCCTAAGGTCAGCCGAAGTCTCAGTTCCCGTTTCCCTGCAATCCATCAGAGGCTCGGCAAAAGACGACTCGAGACTCAAAATATCTTTTCATTTTTCCTCCTGCGGTTTAAGATGGCTTTTTCATGGTTTTGTTTCATATAGGGAAGGGCACTCCGTCCTAACCCTCTGAGATAACCACAGAGCAGAGTGTGAAACGTCACAAGCTGCCGTGTATTGCGTTTCAGATGAATGATTGCTGTGACTATTTTCTCCTCAGAAGTCGTAAACCTGATCTGAAACGGCCAAATGTTTGTTTAGGCGGTGACTTTCACGCTCCACAGTTTATTTCACTGATAGGTTTAACTTGTTGTTCTCCTTTGTGTCTCTCCAGAGATTTGCCTGCGAGTTGAAGATATGAGGTTAGCGGGCTCCTTTTGGATCCTTTGCTTTCTGCCGGTGGTAAGCCCTCACTTGGCTCTCATTTTTTACTCCACAGAAGAATGTGCTGCGATGGGAAGTTGTGTAAATCCCTGCTTCTCATTTATTATTCTGTGCGCATGTGCTGAAGGTACAATTTAAATTAAATGTAATTTGTTGTGGTCTAGTGTTTTTTTTTTCTTTCATCAGCAAGAATCTCCAAATTGTTTTCCACAACCTGTTCTGATTAATCATTACTTAGACAGACGGGGAGTGTTTGTATTCATTTGTGGAACAGCTTCAGACTGTTTGTAGCACTGACAAGTGCGGCGCGTAATTTTGTTTCCACAAATTGGAAATGCTGGTACACAAATCATGGTTTGTTTATTAAACCTATCAGATAACAGTAGAAAAAAAATCCTGTACTCCAATCTGAAATGTTACTTCTCTGCTTAAAGGTCTGGAAATACATTTATCTACACCTCACGTGGATGGTTGAGGGCAGTGCATACACAAAACATGACTCAGCCATGAGTTAAAAAATAAAACCATTGTTTGAAAGCTTTTTACAGGTAGATTTGGAAGGAGATGGAAAGAGAAAAAAACTAACAACCAGCATCTTTGTTTGAGTCAGACCAAATCATAAAGAAATGTGCATTCTGCAAATATGTTGTCAATCCTTCACTCACGCTAGAAAGATAAAAACCAACCCAGAGAAAATTCACTTTCAAAATCAGAATAAGCTCACAGACCACGGTAATAACAGAGTAAACCTTCTTAAACCAAAGTAAATCGGACCTAACGTTTATGAACACACACTTTGGAGAGGAAATATTTCTCTCTCTGTCCAGATTTTGAAATGGTCATAAACACTATCTAACTATGCAGCTTTAAGAATTAAGTTCTGCCGAGGATTTAGCAGTGTAAAGTGAGCGTGCCAGCAGGAGATGGAAAGGCTCAGTCTGGAGCTAGCAGCAGGCTATTGAGGCATTTGCCAATCACAGCTGTCTCCTGAAAAAAAAAACTGAAGTAACAGGGACATATTTATGCAGATCCGGGCTTTTTGAATCATGGTCATTATGGGTCTTTACACAGTCATTCCACTAAGCACCCATTAACCACAGTTACCTTTATAACTCTAGTCGCACGGCACCCATCAATAAACCAAACAGATATGTGATTCTCTGGAGCCCCTCTAGCATCTGCCGTGCAATATTTCAGCTTCACATTCAGAATATTAATATAATTCTTCCTCACTTCATTATTGCCCTGTGATTTAAGAGCGTAGTTCATATTCTGTATACTCTGCCATTCTTGGAAGTTACATTTCCACTATTAAGGCAGACTAGCTTTTTTGACAGATGCACAGCTAGATACATACAGCCCCTGACCTGGGCCAAAAAGATAATTGATGAAAATTGGTCTAATTATAGCTCTTTTAGAATTGTCGACATGTTTTAATGCAGCTATTCTGGAACACATGTCCCACACATGGATATATACACAGACAATAGCTTGGACGGTTGAGTCCTATTGTGTTTCCAGAGTTTGAGAAATGGTCTTAATTAGCTTAATGGGCACATTCTAGGCATCAATCAAAGAATGCAGGAAAGTATGAAGACGCAAGAGCTACAAATCACGTCGGGCGGACACGTGTTCTGAGGTTTCAATCTGTACTGATTTGCCTAATGAAGGTATCACAATGAAAGTAATGAAACAAGATGCTCACACGGTCCTTATAATTCACAACAATGGGCTGCATGATGGCCTGTAAACAGAAAAATAAACACTACGGTTTGAAGTTTCATCACTTTCGAATGTCACCTTCCAGTGCAGGCCCTCTTTTTCAGACTGATACATCCCTGCCTACTTTTTACTTTTAATGCTTGACATATCAGTAGTTTGCTGTTCTATTGTTTCTGTGATTAGTTTTTGAATGGTCCTGTCACGCATATATCAGAAGGTTATCTGTATTTAATGGGTGAGGAGAGGCCTTGCCATGAGATGAAGATTTCTTTTTTTTTTTCAGCTCAGATGTTGATATTGGTGGTGGCCTGGTGGTCGTATGTATGACGTCATTTACTTCAATGCTTGGAGTGACATCATATGTACGGCTGCTAAACTGCTACATGGGACATCAGAATTCTGAAAAAAGCTGTGTTTTAACTGTTTTGTCTTGCTTAAGCCTCTAGGAGAGAGGTAAGAGTAATATTATGATCCTCCGCAAAGAGCTAAGGGGAAAAAGGTCCATTACTCATTTGTGATAAGACATGTGGTCACAATCTTCCTGGCAAAGTATTTAAATTCCTCAAATAACTCATGAAATGCAACTCCACGGGCCTGGGACTTTGAGAAGCTTAATTTTCAGCCTAAAAAAGAGAAAAAGAAGATAAGTCACTGCAAAATGGGCTCTTTATCCTTCAGCGAGCGGCATGATCCTAATCAGCATTTCATGCCGCAGACTCATTTTAGTGCTACCTCCAAATACAAACAATAGAGCAGAGATAAGGTTAATTTGTAGAAAATCAGCTGCTCAACTCCTTTTGTGGAATCCCAAACACTCTTTAATGAGTTTTATGCATGGACAGTGACTTGAATTTTAAAGAATAGAAAAACTGAGAGCAGATCTGCTTTGAAATTTTCTGATTCAAAAACCTTCCATTTAGAACTTATAAGAATGCACATCTCTCTCAATGCACGATCCAACTGTGAGATATTCCATTTCAAGGTATTTACAATTTTCTTGTTTTCAGCTGTAAAGGGAATGCAAATGAGAGAGGCATGTACAAAATGACCACGTTAATAACCCTCATCTACACTCAATACTGCGCTTCCCGTGGCTATATTTGTGCATGTTTGTGTCTTTCCTCTCTCCACTTTAATGCCTTGTTTTCTCCACAGCTCAGGGCAGCTGCAGGAAGTGATCCGATCCCAGACCCATCGGTCAGTCCTGGACGGAGCACTGTAGGACAGAGTGAGCAGGCAGTGAGCCAGGGTCAATACAAATGTCTTGAGCTGTCCAAAAAGGACCACCAGGAAAATAGAACTGGTGAGGGGGCTAAGCAAACCTTTAGGAGAGCACCACACGTGTAGAAATATTGTAAATGTGTTGAACGGGGATCGAAAAGCTTGTGATGAACAAACATTCTCGAATTATATTTCTTGCTTTGTACTGCACTTACACTGACATTTAAGTAAAGACACAGTAAATGTGGATATATTTTGTTACACTTTTGTTCTTTATCTTCTCTTGAGGTGTGTTTTGTGCGCGCACATGGGATGGTTTGTTGTGTTGGGATGAGACGCTAGCCGGGGCCTCTGTAACACAACACTGTCCAGATCATCCTGACCTCAACGCAACCGGTAAGGCAGTCATTTTTTTTTTTTACAAGAGTAGAAACAAGCTGCTGGCTGAACTGAGCCCCTCCAGGATAATCTTTTTTCCATAACGTCTCTTTAGCGCAGCTGCAACAAAAGCAGCTGGACCAAACTACAATTTTTTAAACAGACGCAGTCGGGAGAAAGAGAGCTAAAGATGTCCTCCGCCACCAACCCAGCCCCACAATTATTTAATCAAGTTCAATTTCACAGCTGTTAAACATCAATGAATATTAAGACCGCTGATATGGTTGAATTTAATTGAACATATTCTAAGTAAGGAATTCTTGCAAGACAATCTGTATAATCTGACATTTCTGCATGGATGTCATTGTTCCATGGATCATATTCTTCTGTTTATTGATCAGTTAGGTCTTCAGCAATATTGGTTTGTGCCCTGCGTCCCAGACAGGACACAAAATGTCAGACTTTTTACATTTTCCCTTCATTTGAAGGAAAAATACTTCTTCCCTTCTAAATTTCTATAAACAAAATCATGGTTATGCATGAAAATTCACATTTTTGGAATATTAAAAAAATGTGGAGAGGGTACGTTTTGCATTCAATGTGAAACCAAAGAGTTCTGAACAAAAGCATTAACCACATTCTAATGAAAACAAAGATACTGGAGGGCTGTGTAATTTAGTTTAGTTTTTAAGTTTGAAAATGGACCATTCTTTTCTTTTGTTCGTCAGCAGGACTGTATTTCTTCTAAATTGCATGTAGATGTGAAGCCCAGCTTCATTTGAATTTTGCAGTCGCAGTAATGTTTCACTTAAGCACTGATATGCTTTTAAGTTTGGCCTTGAAGAAGAGCTAGCATGGTTTCAGACTCACAGATGCTTTTAAGTGCTTCGCTGGAAGAGGATTGTCATGACAGGGCATTCAAAAGACTGCGAACATTAAAGGTTCCTACACCACAGACTAGATAAATGATTAGCTGACTGGTCTGACAGAGTGAAGACAAGTATTTACTTCTATCTAAATCTGACTGTGGTCTTTGACACTGAACGTACGACTCATGTTTGAATTGCTGGACAGCCAGTCTCCACAAAGTGCTCAATTTTGCATTGTTAATAATGCAAAGCTTAGTACTGTGTATCTGAAAAGATCCAGAGTCGAGTCACGTCTGATTTAGGAGATGCAACATGACAAAGAAAAGGGAGGTGAGGCGGCGGGCAAAGAGATGAATGAGGAGTACGAAGAGGGGGAGAGAGGCAAAGAAAAGAGGAGTCGCAAAAAAAGACAGGAAGGCAGCAGCCAGAGAGATAGATGGGGAGAGAGAAAATGAATGTGCGTGTGTATTGGGGGGGGGTGGCTGGCAGAAAGGGATCGACCAAAAATCCCTGTGACTCCGTAAGAGTCCCGCTGTAGCTGAGGCTGCTGATCTGAGGCCTACAGGGGGCTGAGCTGTACAGTTGGAAGAGGCCGTCGAACATTTTTATGAGCTGTCGGAGAGGAACCGGTAACCGTTGTTGTTGTTGTCAGGTACAATGTGCTCTCACTCTTTGTCCAGTCATGGGTTTCTGTTCCGCGCGGTTTTAAACTTGACATTTGAGAATTTGCAAGAAAAAGGTGGAAAACATTCTGCTCGATAGCATGTGCCAAGCTGAATTAATAGCAGCTTTTTTGGGGAAATGCCGCGATCGGCCGCGTTTGGAACATGGCAGCAGAGTGACACTACAAAGAACAGATTCCTTCTGAGCTCTCTGCAAACAGACCTGGCCTGTAAGCGAAGCTTTTGGGATAGTAAGTGATGGATTATGCTGTCGTGCTATTCATGTTCTCAGCAGGAAAAGTGACCAAGTTTTGTGATGAGTCGGGAAACTGGATCCAGATTGGCTCTTCCTGTCAACCAGCTTTAAAGGACGAATTAGAGGCATGTTTCAAATGGATTTTTCTTTTTTTGCCTGGCATTAATGAAAAACTGAAACAAAGCTTGATTTGTTGTATTCTGCATGTATACCAATCAGCAGATTGATGTTTTTTTTGTTCCCAAAGGGAGAGATGTTTTTAAGAGATGCTCCTGAGGCACCGACCATGGAGACCACATCAAAGAGTTGCCTTGAGAAAATGAAGAATGATCCGCCTTACAACAAAACAGGTACTGAAACTCCAACTTATCGTCTAACAGTCCCACGGGGTTTGAATTCTTCTCCATGTCCTTGTGAAAAAGAGGCTGTCAAACCTTTCCCTGATCTTTGTGTCAGGCCTGTACTGCAGTCGTACGTGGGACGGCTGGCTGTGCTGGGATGACACCCCAGCAGGGACCTACGCCTCCCAAAACTGCCCCGAATATAATATTGACTCTGACCCCACAGGTGAGCGGCGATTTCTGACAATTTCGGCTTCCATATAGCCCAAAATCTATTTGTTTTCCGATAATCTGCTGATGTTTTCAGCTTGAAAACCTGAATCGAAACAATTTTGCTTTGCAGAAAAGGCAACAAAGTTCTGTGGAGCAGATGGACAGTGGTTTCACCATCCGGAGAGCAACGAGATTTGGACCAACTACACACTCTGTGCAAACGCCCACGACAAGAGGCGGGGGGTAATCTCCAGCAAATCTTTAGATAACAAAACTACATTTTTATACAGGACTTTTTAGTTGTGATTCGTACGTCTGCACAGAATTCTGTGATATCCAAACTTCCACTTTTACCCCCCTTAGAAACTGAAGATGCAAGAGAATGAACACAAATGTTTGATGAAAATGAAGCAAGACCCACCTTATAGCAAAGCAGGTACGGCTAGTCTTACCTCTGAAACGTATCATTTTGTGTCTTGTGCAGCCGAGCGCTTTTCACTGTCCGTGAACGTATGTAATCATAGTTTTGTGATTGCTTGAGGTCTGTTCTGTGGCCGGACCTGGGATGGCTGGTTGTGCTGGGAAGACACTCCAGCAGGTAGCTCTGCATCTCAGAGCTGTCCTGATTATTTTTCGGACTTTGAACCCACAGGTAAATACGTTTTTAGAAGTGTCGCTATCCTGAAAAACTAATATTTTGCGTGCAACCTGCTCAGGTTTAACTGTTTAGATTGTGACCAAGCAAATGTTTTACACAGTTTTACAGTGTAATCTGCATGATGTGATTCTTAGAAAAGGCTACTAAATACTGTGGAGAGGACGGGCACTGGTTTCGCCATCCGGAGAGCAACATGACCTGGACCAACTACACAGTGTGTGTTGGAAACAACGCGACGTTGAGGGTAACTTTGGTTTGCTATAACTATTCATGAGAAAGTTCAGTGACTTTAGGGACTTTTGTTGGCAGGCAGCAAAGATCAGCAGTAGAGATTGCCTCTTGTGTGTGGACAGACCACATTATTAAAGCAAACCATTCAAATAAAAACATATCCATTCAGCTTAAAAACATTTCTGTTAGGCATGCTTAAACACCCACTGAGGTAAGCTTAAATCTCTCCTCCTGCAGCCCTTACTTTGTTGTCTGCACGATGTATCCGGACAACAACCTTTAGGCAGAAGGGGTGTGCAGACACCAGCCAATTTTAGTACAGAGCTGTGAGGACTAAACAGCAGCATCACGCAATCTCTGTCTCACACATGCAGACTCTCTTGGTTGAAAGCGGAAATTCACATGAGGCAACCAACAAAGCGGCTTCCCGTGGGTGTGTGTGGAGGTGTTAGCTTGTTTACTAGAACGCAACAGTTGCGAAAGAAAGTGCAAATTATGTTATATTCCTCTGATTTCTCAGTCTTTGACTCAAACTCACCCCATATTCTGTCATCATGCTGCTTTAAATGGCAACTCCACACTTCACCTGAGGACAAATTAGGCCTTAAAAAATGCTTTGGAGTTCTCATATCCAACATTTGACTGTAGCAAACCAAAAGAATCGCCAAGTTTGAAGGACTGTATCTCCAAACAGTAACATTCAGACTTTCTTGAATACAGTTCTGTCTTAATTTTAATCAAGTAATTCCTAATAAATGTACCCATGTTGGTCAAGCATTCATTGTGTGAAAGCAGCCGTACCAAAATCATCTTGCAGAAAGCCCCAGAGATGCAGACACATGCGTCATCTCTGTTAGCAGAAAAAATGTTTTGCTTTAGTCATTCAGCTTTGAATGAATTTTTTATCAGGCAACCATCTGCACGGATAATCATGCAATCACTTTGTCAGAGGATTTCATGAGGTAGTCAGATTTGAACGGTGTTTTCGGTATCACAGGCGTTTTTCTCAGCCCCCTGCGATGACATTTAAAATGTAGAAAGGTCTTAGTAATTTAACTTCATTTGATGTGATGATATCATTATAGAAAGCACAACTAAAATGACCATTTGCGTAATGAAGGTTTTGAAGTTTACTCTTTTTTTCTATCATGACTTTGTGTACATGTGTGAGTCCTTAAAGTTGCCTTATATCTAATAATAGGCAGCCGCCCAGGCAGAAGCCACAGTCCATCCTGAGAAATGCAAAAAAGATCAGGAGGATGTGCGGAAGAAAATCCTGGACAACCAGTACAAATGCTTTGAGAAAATGAAAAAAAATCCACCTTATAACAAATCAGGTAACTAACAGCCACCGAAACCCACTGTGGATTTCTCCGGCCGCCCCTCTGCCGGGTCGACACTGACCGGCGTGTATCTGTGACCCACAGGTCTGCACTGCAGTCGGAACTGGGACGGATGGCTGTGCTGGGAGGACACTCCGGCCGGGACCTACACGTCCCAGAGCTGCCCAAACTACTTCGAGGACTTTGACCCCACAGGTGAACCGCGAAACGCACCGGTTTGAAACGCCATCTTTCAACGATTTGACGACTCTGAGAAAATAGGCTCAACGCTTAACTGCTGTTTTTCAGAAAAGGCCACAAAGTACTGCGGAGAGGACGGACAATGGTTCCGTCACCCAGATACCAACAGAACCTGGTCCAACTACACCCTCTGCAATGAAAACACCAACGCCAAGCTGAAGGTAATTCACATGAGATAAAGTGCACAGCTTCACGGCGGCTGCAGATCGATGAGTCAGCACAATAGTTTTCTTTTGTGCTGCATGTACTCCAGCGTTTGAAGTGTGTTTTTGCCAAATGTTAGCCAATGTGCCACCACTCTTTGATGCTGAATGAAATAAAGATTCCACTTCAAATGGGTACATTTATGATTATGTCTGTGTTTTATTTTTTTGTCTTAAATTGAGGGCAGCTTAGCAACACGGGTTTTGTTTTTCTGGATACACAGTTTGCATTTATTGGTGTAAAAACAATCGAACCCAAAGACAAAGTCTTCTGTCCGGGACTCTGTGTGGTCAGAGCCGTCCCGTTAACAGCCCTGTGTGGGCACTGTCACAACAATGTTCTTATCGTCAGCAGCGCTTGGCTGCAGAGGGAAGGTACAAACAGCACATCTCATACAGAAGGACGGCACAGTTTAGTCAAACATTCTGTCAAAGGGGACCTCTCTTTAACCACCAGGTCCACACAGACACACCGTTCAAATGCACACCCCAGAGCCAGGGCAACACATTAGAAAAAGAGGCTCATCAAGCACATTTCTTTCATTTACAGGATAAGACTCATCCTGTTCTGTTCCTTTATTCATTTATTTATTTATTTATTGGTGCTGGTCTGGCTAGCCTGGTAAAGATAATCCTACCTTTTCTTTTTCTCCACATTAAGAGCCCTCATACAGCTGTCTACATGTAAAACAGCAACTGCTCGTGAATAGTTTGCACACTCTAACTTGAATTGAATAATCACATAGATAAGAATATTCCTATAAAAGGAAAAATGGTTCTGTGCCAAACACGATAAGCTGAATTTCTGTAAACAGAATGCATCTACGAGAAAAAAAAAATACTAGAGAGCTTTATCTAACATAACAGCATACAACATCATGAATAGATCATTAATTCCTCGCTGCTGAATTTCTCTCTTTTTTCTGATAAAGCTTTTCTTCCCATGCTTTTCTTACAGTCTGCATACATCCTGTTTTACATGGCAATTGTGGGCCACGCATTATCCATAGCCTCCCTGCTGATCTCGCTGGCCATTTTCTTCTACTTCAGGTAATTCATTCAGTGTAATATTGCTGCCCTGTGTATATGATGCAATTTGATTCAACAGTGATTAATCACCCCAGAAGAATAGTCATCCTCACAAATGACAGTGGATCTTACAGATGGTGTTGTTGCTACCTCAGCACCAGTAGACCTGCGTCTGCACATGACTTACTGCCAGCAGATTCTTTTGCTTTTGTCTGAGCCAACAGTACATATAAGACTACAACAAACATTTGTCTCAAAAAGGGATTTTTTTCTGTGTTAAAGGATGATGTCATTTGCTCACTGGGTCAAGTGTTGAATGTCATCTCAAAGAAATAAGATCTCTACTGGTGTCCAAAGCGAATGTCAAGTACCAACCTTTAACTGGCTGCTTGCTTGTTCAGCTCATTTTACTCATGCATATTCATATTTCTGCACATTATAGACAGGACATTCATTGATTGCATCGGCACGCCACTTTTTATGTGAAAGTGTGGGCACCCGGGTGCTTTATTCATTATGCGTGCACATCCGGATGAACAACTTATTCCCAGAGGCAGAATGTCACAACAACAAAGCTGGATTCTCGAGTTGGAATTTTGCCATAAAATTATTTCACATCGCTAAGTCGATGACTGGAAGGGTGATTTAATGTTCTGAAAACTGGGAATGTTTTTACACAGTCAACTGTGACATTTTTTCTACAGCAAGTGCATTTGAAATCCAGGGGGGCTCTGCCTTCATTTTAATGTCAAAAGAATATTTTTAGTTGAGCGAAAGAGACAGCTATGGAAAAAAGAAAGGAAGACATGGCAATAAATTGTTTGAAATAAGTAGCAATATTTAGAAATGTCACTGTGTAAAATGTCAGTAGTTAAAGTTATCATTTTTATGTGCTAAAGTCTGCGGGCCTCCTAAATGCAGCTGTTATCCAGAACAGATCTTGTAAGAGACCATCAAGAGGCTGCAAAGTTTTATGCCCACCCGTAAATCATCAGGGTGAGTTTAGAGCAGGTGCATGATGGCAAAACTCCGTGACCCTCTAAGAGTAAAATTCAGCTACACAACAACTCCGCAGACCAGCCATGATTAATGGAGAACAAAGTCCCAACAAATCAACACTTCAATGAAGCATTTACCTCACGGTTTTTTTCTAAAAAAGTATATTTTACTACATTTGCAGCCAAAATAGTCACTGAAGGCTTCGCTTTTGTATTATGTGATCCAGATGTGAGGCCTAATGTGCTTCCAGTGGTATGTGATGGTGTATAGCGGCAGTACTCAGTTATTTACAACTCTACATCAACACTGTCAAGAGTCCCAGATAAAAGATCCTCGGGTTTTCAGTGGAAAATTGGGTTGGTTGGAAGTATGATCCACAGACATTATCATTCCCGACAGCCTGGAGGAACGCTGGCACAAGAAATCAGCCTTTGTTTTTACATCCCCCTCGAGATAAAAACAAAAACTTGTGTACACGCTTTCAGCAGCTCCTGCGTTTCCTTTTATGTTAGACAGTTATTTTCAGTTTGAGGACACCTTGGCCTCACAACAAGAAAATAAGATTGTGCCATTGCGTGGTATTACATCACGTTTAGGGGAAATTGGAGCTTTTTTGTTTTCATTGGTCTCCTGAGGTTTGGGATGTTGAGGATGACTCAACACAGATAGAAATAGCTATGAAGACTACATGGGTAGAAGTTCACTGTAAAGGGTGTGATTCTACAATTAGGAGGCTATAATTTCCTGTACCATCCCTTTTAATTCCTCTTTAAGCTCCATTATGACTACAAATGTGGTAACAAATGCCTTATTTAAGCTTTATCAACAACTCATGTATGCATTTTGATCCATTTCTCTTTTTAATTTCTACCGCAAAGCATTTTATTAAACCGTTTTAATAAGAACATGCTAATGAGGAAACTCCCCAGGGATCATATATAATTCAATTGCATTTCCTGCATGTGCCATATGTTAAGGACACAATGTCATTAAAAAAGAAATTGTCCTGCAACGTCAGCATGTCTAATCCATCATGCAACACAGGAGTCTGAGCTGCCAGAGGATCACGCTCCACAAGAACCTTTTCTGCTCCTACGTGCTCAATTCTGCCCTCACCATCATCTACCTCGTCACCGTCGTCAACAATCCCAAAGTCGTGGCCAGAAACCCGGTGAGTAGATATTTCCCACAAAATTATCACAGATTTGAGTCTTTTTCATTCATTTATTGGTACTAAAGATCAATTAGCCCAAAATATCCCTTGTAACAACATATTTTCTGAGTGTTTGACAATTGATTTTAGACTGATTTTGAAAATTGCATTTTGGAAAGTGAGTAACTTAGGAAAATAAATTCAGATGGCACTTCCTTGAGGAGGAAACATAATGGAATAACACTTTATCAAACCTGAAGAGGAAAAAAATTATAATTACAGAATAGAATGATGAGTTTATAGATGCAATAAATCACGATAATTAATTAAATCGTAGATGCAACAAGGACTGCTTTGAGATGTATGTCCCAAGCTTGTTGTTCTTTATGAATATGCATGTTTTAAACGGCTGCCTTGTGTTTCTTGCATTGTTTTGTGTGTGTGTTGTTTATAACCATTAGGAATTAAAGCCATGCGTATGGAAGCTGAATTATGTAGGAGGCTGGTAGAGGATATGTAATCTTGTTTTGATGTTACAATAACATGTATCATCAATTTCCCCTTTCATGCTTGGCTGGGTAAACTCTACAGTAATGCTTTTGTCTCTTTTTTCTATCAAGATAATAGGAAAATAGATAAAAATCTATCCTCCTCTATTCAACCCATATTTACTATTGCTTATATCCTGTAAATTTAGCAGTCTGAGGGATAAGGTGCTAAGAAAGTTCATAATGCGAGTGCGTGAAAACACACATCGTATTTTCAATCTACAATTTTGATAAAGGAACCTTGACTTTCTGTTAAGTCTTTCCCAGCTTTTTCAGATATCTCAATAAAATGGTTAAATGTGTCCTTTGACTTTTTAATCTTGTATTTTGAACAAATCGTTATTTGTGGGGTCTTCAGATCCCTGTATTCTGTTTTATTTAAATTTTTTGCAGCATCCTAACTTTATGCTTAATGGAAGTGTAAATATATCATTTATCTACATGTCTGATCTTGGCAGGTTTATACTGTTAGCAAGCAATTTTTTTTTCTCATCCATGTTTTCCTGTTGAGGTTTCGGGGCCTCACTGAATGCCTGATTTAATTTCTTTAAAACTCTGAGGTCTGCTTGGATAGTAATGATAAATCTGTCATGTAGGAATTCCTCGCTATCAAGGCTGAACATAAATTTGTGCGTTATTCCTTCTTGGAAATCAAAAATACTGGCAGCCTGTTAACCTGCTGCGTCTGCCCAATGAAAGATATTGTTTTAGAACTCATTCAACCTCAAAGAGGATCAAAACCTTTCTACTTTTCACAGACTGAAAAAAGACAATGTCTAGCTTAAAATTGCATTAAATCGAAGATGTGTTCTTCCCAGCTGTAAATGTGTAAGGATTTAGCTAAACTACGGTATAAATATTTGACGAAAAATGATAAAGAAAATGAAACCCCATCATGCCTTCTGCTGAAGCTTTTCCTGTCTGACAAAGTGCTGGAATGGCTGCCGCTGGAACTGAGTTTAATATTTAAAGCTGCTGCCATTTTTCCTCACGCGTTCACCAGATTTGAACACGTACCCATCATGATTGGATCTGTAAAAGAGAAAAATGACAACCATCACAATAGTGATGACGTCTGTTGTGTGGTTGGCTCCCCGTTTGAATCTGATCCTATCTGATAACCAGCATTCAGGTTGTGCCGTGCACCTACGTACTGCAGCATACCAAAATTACATTTGTTATCCAGACCTTTCTTTTCATGAAGAAGCAGGAAAAAAAAAAATCTGAAGAACTAAGGTTTTGGAATCATATGCGTCAGTTGGGAAAGATTTTGAAATTTGTCTCTGCCAGGACAAGACTTACGAGTCTGTTTTTTGGTGCTGGTGATTTAGGAATAGTGGATTGTGAGAAAGATTTGCTCGCACTGAGAAAACATGGTCTTTTTATTCTCTGTGGTGTGGAGATAGAAAGTCTGGTTTGGCCCGCCAGCAGTCTGGGGGAGTGCAGGCCCAGAGCTTATGTCAAACCTGGGAGGAGGCTAAAAACATCTCCATGATCTATATCATTTATTAAAAACCGGGGCGCCGATACTTGGGATAAACCCTGAATAGTCACCGTCCTCAGCGAGGAAAACCAAATGACCTGACTCACAGGTACCGAGGCCGCCTCAGTTCGAAAATTCCTCAAGTCATAAGATAAACATTGGATTGGGAGGGGGAGATATTGAGCTAAAAGCTTTGAGGTGAAGAAACGCTGAGTGTTTTCAGATAGAAATACCACTGAGAGCAGCTGTTAAGAGCACTGCCAATATCACGAGCGCGCTCCTTAAAAAAGGTTCAAAGAAGGAGCCTAAATTGAATATTATGACAGTTCCTCACTTTTTCAAGCTGTAAATTAAATCAGAGTTGTCTATAAAAAAAAACGTCTCACAGTTTTTTTACACGTCACATTCTTTGTGATTCAGTTCGATATCCCATCAGCCCATTTTGTTGTAGTGACTGCATCAAATTTTTCAGGATGACAAATGGTGCATTGTGGGAGATCTCCCGGCATTTTATATCACTGAGAGCAAAACTAAATGGATGATTAGAGGCCATGCGAGTCGGTCCTGAGGTTAGAATGAGTTTTTATCCTTATCTAAGCTTATTTTGAAGGTAGATAAAGCGTGTTGGGCCAAAAGAAAATGACTGAAAACAGATGGCTCTGCCTCCTGTTCTGCCTTTAGAAAACCAAAGAATCAAAAGGAAGCTTGTAGTCTGACATCTTTTTAGAGAAATAATTCATTTCTGGGTTGCCCCGTTCAAACACAATAAACTGTTTATTATGTAGTTTAAAATGTAAATAAAAAATGTATGACATAGAGAAACCTAATTATTTACCTCCTTCTTCATATGAGTGGCTGCCCGATATCGAAAACAAAATAACCTAAAATCAAAAATGTAAAAAAAAGGATCCAAACTAAGAGAAACTTAACCGAGGAGAGTACTGATATATATTTGAATGATTCTCGTCATTTATGACAGCGCCAGTAACTTTCTAGATGATGTCTGCTTTTGTTTAACCTCCTGCTGTGATAGTAATTTTCATTTCATTGGAATGGGCACAAGAGAAGAAAGACTAAACCGAAGTGGGAGAAGCAGCTGCCTCCAAAGCAGATGGGCTGGTTGAATTGCCTGTCCAAGTTGTCCAAAAGCATGTTGTAGGATCAAAACTCCAGAGAATTGCAGCAATGAGTCCCTAAATCAGCAAGGGAGGCTTATGGAAAACTCAGCAAGCAGCTATTTTTGCTTTTTACGATTTCCATTTGGGACTGTTTGGTATTCATTACACAAGCTATGATTTATGGCACTTGTGGAAGTGTGCTGATGATTATAGCATTAGTACACTGTGGTTAGCCAAGATTGATGTGATAATGATAAGTCATCAAAGTCCTCATCGCTAATTCTAAAGACTCAATCAAGGGAGCAGATCCTATAAGGAGACATGCTGTCAGTCTGTTGATGCTAAACATCAAATCATTCTGGAACAAGGTGCCTCATCTCTTCTTTGTGTACACTTCAACACGATCAAGGAGCTCCCCAAAAATCATCATTTACAGCTCACCTCCAAAGGGGCTAACAGCTAACTATTGTCTGCTCCTGACTGATCCTTCCCATTACATTAAAAAAAAAAGTTCTTTCTTTTTTATTAGATCTCCATCTTAGAAAAGTGTTTCAAGTAAATAATTGCAGTCGACATATTTTAATCATACTAAATAAGCTTGTTCTCCGTGCAGGTTAGCTGCAAGGTCTTGCACTTCTTCCACATGTACATGTTGGGGTGTAACTACTTCTGGATGCTGTGTGAGGGAATCTACCTGCACACGCTCATTGTGGTGGCTGTGTTTGCTGAGGAGCAGCACCTGCACTGGTACTACCTTCTGGGTTGGGGTGAGTTATATTTTTTTCTTTATTTCTATATTATCTTTCCACGTGTGTGTGATTAACTCATTACTTCCCTGTTTACTAGACTAAAATTTGGTTTTAGAATAAGAAATGGAGCCCTATTTGACTCAATTGACAGAAGTCCCTTTCTAAAAGAACATGGCAATGTGGTTTATTGCTGTTTCTATCCTGTTTCTATCCAGTTTGTCAGTTCTGTCTGTGGCTGGCATGTAGCAAAGCCTCTTGGGAGTTCCCAAAGGACCCAGTCTCCGCTGAGGGGTGTCAGATTGGACAGAATTCTTCACGAAAAATAACCATCTGGCCATGTCTTTCTATGCAATTATTATAGTAAATTTGTGTAGATTAAAAAGTCCCAGTCCAATAAAGTTTTCCATTTTTTCTAAAGTAGCAATCGTTCTCTGAGGAAGTTTAACACTAAAAAAGGATAACGTAGCGTTTTATTATCCCTGAGTGAGAAATGAATCTCACCCCATGTGGCTGCTTTCTGTTCCTGCTCAAGGTTTTCCTCTGGTGCCCGTGTCCATCCACGCTGTGGCCAGAAAAAAGTATTTCGACGACAAGTTAGTATTGTCTCCTGCAGATAAACAGAAAATATTCACCCATGTGCTGAAATGTGTGTGTGGTGGAGGGAGAGCATGCTGCTCCACACACACACGTGTTTTCAAATGCATGTATGTGTGTGGCAGAGAGTTGTGACTATTTTTTTTCCTTCTGTAGCTGTTGGATGAGTGTGGAGACCCATCTGCTCTACGCAGTTCATGGACCTATAGTAGCAGCACTTCTTGTAAGTCTGTTACAATTTTTTCACATGAAAAAAACATCTTATTGAGAAACCAAAAGAAATAAAAAATCATACTTTAGACTTTTCACAGTTGTGTAATTTTTCAAAATGCAGATTCGCTTTTTTTGTACCTTTCTGTAGGTGAACCTCTTCTTCCTGCTGAACATCATTCGAGTGTTAGTCACCAAGTTACGAGACACGCATCGGGCAGAGTCCAACATGTACATGAAAGCGGTGAGGGCCACTCTGATCCTGGTGCCTCTGCTGGGAATCCAGTTTGTCATCATCCCCTGGAGGCCCGAGAACCGGCTGGCTGGTGAGGTCTTTGAGTATGTCATGCACATACTCACACACTACCAGGTGGGTACCGACAGTGTCGGAGCTCAAACACAATCCGGCTGTGCATTATGAAGCTGAGTGGATTCACATTCAATCAAAGATGGAGGGAAAAAATTGTAACAACATTTAAAGCCGTTTGAGGAACAATTTATTTATTTATTTATTTGAATAGGGACAAAGCACATTAATGAACATCAGTCAAAAACAAATGTAAATATGCCCGATTGTAGCTACAAAGCTCATTTTCATCCGTAGTCCCTAGGCAGGCAAAGGCATAAAAAATAACATATAATAAACAATACAAGCATCACAAGTAAATGTTTAGATTTTAGTGGTCACATGACTGGTTTGCTTTCATCCAAAATTTAAGTTGAGCTCTAAAGCTGGTCAGTGTGGGGACCAAGTTAGGCACTTCATTAAATGACGGTTCATTTGAGTGCTTATTTACTTATCAGGCGTTCCACTTTACCACCAACACTGTTTTAAAAAAGCTGTTTTCTCACCATGACGTCAGACAATTAATGCAATGTTTGAATATGTTTGCAAGAAAGAAAGAAAGATGATAAGATTCTCTTTTTTTTACTTTTTCAAGGGTTTGCTGGTGGCAACAATATTCTGCTTCTTCAATGGAGAGGTAAGGACTGTTTACCGATTTCATGCTCTGAGTTTTTATTGGTTAGAATGAGTCGGAGTTGGAGTCTCCGGGGAGTTGGCTTGAAGGTCGGCACTCCTCTCATGTCTGTGAGCTCAAAATGGAGCGGCAAGTTAAGGAGAGTTCAGGGGGACGGCCCAGATGCGAGAGACAAACCCGGGCAGACGGGCGCACGGCGAACAACAGGCGTTTGTTTACGAGGCTGAAATTAGCAAAGCTCTGGGGGAACACAATCTGCACAGGCAGATGAAAAAGATTCCAAACTTAGTCAAATAACACCAGAGAGATGAACTGCCAAGGGACAGAGATACAGATCAAAGGCTTGAACTAAAAGAAACTAAAAAAATTTAAAAAAGCCAAAGGTACGCCACACGATCATGTAAAAAATTAATCAAATACATTTCCATCGGTAAGTGGATTTAGTTTGAGTAGAAACTACCTGTGGATTTAATGCAGCTTCGTATAGAAATCTCCTGTGTAACGTGGCATTATAAAGAATTCAGCAGCATCATCAGTCTGAGGTTTTGCAATTGCGTCATTCAGCTTCACCCACATCCAGCTCCATCCACTCCACAGGATTAGAGCCACTGGATAATGCATAGAAAGAATTCTATTTATAGCATTTTTTGTTCAGTCGGAGAGTGCAAGAGAACAAAGTGTGATTTCTGTCGGACTCAAAAGGATAGAGTTAGCCATAAAAGTTACGATGTTGTGAAACACATTGTAAAGACAAAAGAGCTGGCAAGATAATGAATGCAATAAGCAGTTTTGATTTATGAAAGTATATGAGACTTTCAGAAATCTGATTAAAAAATGGCTGATCGGTTACAACTGGAAAAAGTCATGATTGATATTTCCAGTTTGTACGCCCACAAAGCCTTGAAGAAAGGATTATCTGAACTCGAGTAGCCTAAATCTTCTTAGGAAGGAGGTGAATAAATCCTCAAATGTTCAAATATTCATTTAAAAGCTGGTTAGACAAAATGTTAGATAGAAAATTGCCCGGTTTTTATAGAGCAATTGCCCTTTTATAAAGGTCAGCCTGCACTTGTTGCACGGGGAGATGTTCAACCATGGAGCAAAAAAGCTGCTCATTCCTTGAAGCGTTATAAATGAGACATCGTGCGCCATCAGGTTAAACCTGTTTAGGGTCAGATCTTTTTAAAATGCATCTTGACCTGACAGCACATCAGGATGTGACCCACGAATATCAAACCAGGACTGTTTGGTTTGTGCCTCATGTTATAGCTCCATTAGTTTGGATGGGATTGGTTATAAGGCAGCATGATCTGGATTGAATGGGGTCATGTGAGGTGAGGAGAAAGATGCTGAAAAAATAACGGTGTGGCTGCCAAACTCGGCCGAATGTGGACTCCTTTCAAGACATTTTGTCAGCCTTTTAAAGCCATTTGCAGCTGTCTGACTGTGAGCAGTCACAACTGGATTTAAACCCTTCTCCAAACCAAAAAAACACAAAAACCCTGTTTCTGAGGTTAATGAGGTTGTGGAGACCCCTCTTGACCCCTCAGACTCATTGTGTAAAAGATTGCGAGCAATTAACTGGAATTGACAATCTTATCAGCTTTTCTGTGACAGTTTCTGTTTCTGATTTGGGCAAAGCAAGAAAGGGGGGATAACGTGCTGAGCATTCCTATGATCCAAAAACAAAACCATGATCTTATGAGTCATTTGGCCGCGTAACCTATAAACACAGTCAACACGAGGACGCTGGCAGCCGCAAAGTTGTGTTTTGTACTTTTTTTTTTTGTACTCATCTGAAACTATGCAAATGGCTTTTAAAATACTGTGTTGAGGGAATGGCAAGATTTGTTTGCTTCACCCGCTTAATGACCAGCTCATGTTTCCTTAATCAGGGCATGGGTTTCTGGAGTTAGTTCAGTTGATTATTTTTTTTTTCTATTATTCAAAGCCAAACGGCACAGACCTGCCTTGTTTCTTCAATGGCTCCATTGTGTGGAGGGGACAGTGACAGAAACAGCTCTAGAGCTGTATTTGTGACATCAAGCAAGACTTTCTAAGCCTCAGCTGATCTTTTGTCTCATCACGACTATTACGGGCTTAATTTGTGCCATTATATCACTGCATGTTAATGCATCCTTAGTAATTATACCATTATGTTAGTGTGTTACTGAAAGAGCTGGTTGACATTTTACTACTGGAGGGTTTCAGCTCTGCTGTGCTGTTTAATTAGTCTGAAACCCGCATGCATTTAGACAGGCATGTCAATGTTTGATTCAAGAGCGTTGAACCCTATATGTGAGCGGAAAGAAATCCCTGAACGGAAACCTATCTGCACTGACTCAACACATTTGAGCCGAATCCTTCCGGAGCCCTAAGACCAGCTCAAACCTGTTGAGATTTTGGAGGTTGTAGACGGTCAATGCATGCTTTCCAAGCTGAGCTGACCGTGGTACCTGCCCCACCGGTAAACCTGGTCGGGCTTTTCGTGATGGATTAAGCAGTTCCACTGATCTGGGCAGTTATTGTGTCCATACTGAGCTCAGTGGCAATAGCAGTAGGAGCTGGAATAGCCTTCCGGGCTGGTTGGATAGCGGTGTTGTGTCCCCGGCCAAAAATGATCGTGGTCATGCTCCAAAAACTGCTGCAATGTGATAATGAGGTGGGTAGCCAGAGGGGACATTCCCGCTCTTATAAAGCCTGTCTTACCATCCAGGACGATGCTTAATGATTGGTGTCGAGAATAGGCAAAAGTTTAAAAAAAAACAACAACTTCTGACTGACATCTGATAGCCACATGGTGCCCACTTACACAAGGTAAGAGTACTCAAGGCCAATGTTTGTACGTTTTTCTTATCAGTAGTTTGTGTAGTCTGTTGTTCACATAACAATACAAGCATCTGTTGACCCAATAGTTGGGATATATATGGGAAATGTACTGATTGTAGTTATTATTGTTTTTGTTTTGTTCGTGCTTAATCGGCACACATGTCAGGATTAACTAAAAAAGAAGGAGTGAGCCAGTAAAGTCAGAGCCTGTAGTCATAAATTATATGATGAAAAACAATTTTTACAGGTGTTTTTTGTTTTTGGCGGCCAGCTATAATGTGACATTATAAATATGATAAATTGGTTATGAAAATGTTTAAGATCTTACCGTGTAGATATTATCAGTGTCTACTCATATGTCTATCATATGGCTGCCTAACCCCAAAAATGTAGCTCTCATTCCTCACCCAGCTCACTTTTCCACTGCTCAATACACAGTAGGGAGATAAGGAATTACTAATGGGAGGAAATCCAAAATGTAATGAGCTCTGAAAACAGGTAGGATGTAAGCTGAGAGACCAGTAATCTTTTGTTTAAAGGAGGGTCACCAAAGGTTGTGGATTTGCACCATTCCTCCCTCCACAGCGTCCTTATCAGAGCTTGTGGCCGAGCAAACCAGCGCAAGACGTGGATAGTGACTGTCACAGGACATCAGGAATCAAAACCTGGGCTGCGTCTGTGCAGGGAACCAAAGCCCCAAGGATAGAGAAATAAAGGCCAGCTGAGAGACACCTGATAAAGAAACCTCCAGGCAGACTTCAGGAGAATAAAACGTACATCAGACAGTCAGAGGCAGCAGCATAGGATAAGGGAAAGTAGAGAACTCTGGCTAAGGCTTTATCCCAGACGGCGATGATAAGGTATCCATGCAGGAGCAATAAAGACCAGTGTATATTTAAATATATTAGGTGGACTCTTTCAACATGTGACATAAGATCACGTTAATAACTAACCAGATAAACTAAAAGGTTCCTTGAGTCTGAGGAGCAAATGTAAGCTTTAGGTCCTTTAAGATATTTGCTATATTCATATTTTTTCATATTTACATTTATCAAAATGATGGACACACTGGAAGTATTTGACATTTCTTTTAATCCATGTAAATGACAACCCTCTGTCAGCCTGCATCCCTGCTGAATTTTGGATTTAGGAGATTGATTAAGTTGCTCTAAACATAACACCGAGACTGATTATCACATTAAGCACTAAATAGAAGGATTACTAGGAGTTACTTACAGTAAGTCATCCGGGTAGAAATGGATTATATGATGATAGAAAATGTATTTGGTTCACATGACTGTTATTGTGTTTTCCGTGTCAAATTAACATCTCTATCGGGGTCGTCTTTGACATCTAAACGGCTGCCAGAAGATTAACTGATTGTGTAATTACGGAAGTAGTTTAATATTTCAATCATTTAATTGGTGTGGAGCAGTGAAAACAAAAGAAATGGAGCATGATCTCCTATTATGTTGAAAAAAAATAGTTCTCATCACACTTTACAGCAACATTGCATTCATTTTATATATAAAGGGGGATTTATAGAGAGGGGAGGGAGGAGTGAAGAAAGTTTGAGGGGATGACAAATTTAAAAAAAGGCTTTAAATAAGATGTTACTAAATTGTATGTGGCTCATACTTTGTTTGGCCATAAGGGATCACGCACCTTGAGCAGAAGTGGAGAACTCCTGTTAAAAAGCACGGCAGTGGCCTTTTCCTTTTATTATGTGACAATGTGACCACATGCACATATTTGGCCAGAATAAGTAAGTTTGATGTTTACTTTGCAAGCGCACGTCTGCTAACGCGATTAAAATCTGAACTGCCCACATATGTTGGAGCAATCCTTCACGCATCGACTGCGATCACTGTCTGTTTGACTGATAATGTCACAAGATGGTGTTTACACGGACCCTGCTTTTCTGGCATTACACACTGCAACCACTTTTGATTTGTGAGTAAATTTGGATGTCTGGTGGAATCATTACTTGGCCAAAGTGGACCAGGCACGATAAACAGAAGAAAGAACTTTTTTTTTTGGTGCTAATTTCCAGAAATGTCTTTGGTGTGCGCCTTGGTTTTGACTAACGTGTATAAGATCTGTACGTGTCCTTTGTTTGTTTTTTGTTTTTTTGCTTTGACGTCCAGGTCCAAGGAGCTCTGAAGAGACAGTGGATGCAGTACAAAACCCAGTTGGGTCAGAGACGAAAAGACCACTGCTCCATGCGCTCCACGTCCTACACGGCCACCTCCATCACCGAGGTGCCGGCCTTCGCCTTCCACCACGACACGAACAATGAACACCCGAACGGGCGCCACACAGAGGACTCCGAGCTGGTGGCTCTCAAATCCGGAGACACGTACGCTTAAGGACGCGGAGCGTAGCGGCGGACGACGGTCCGGGAGGAACAGAGCGACGGGAAATGTAAAGTAAGAAAAAAAAGAAAAAGCAGAATCCGGCCCGGGCCCGCCATCTCTCAGTGATTAAAATCTCAGTGGCTACTGCTGGTTCGTTTCAGCGCAGGACGATAATACGGGTCTGGAATTATCGAGCTCGTCGAGAGGAAGCTGGATTAGCTACGAAGCCGATGCTTTTTTTTTGTTGCGTTTTGTTTTACTGTTGCAGCTGCTTTATGAGAACATTGATGTCGAAAAACTCGGTGTGAGTGAGGAGCTGCTTGTGACAAGGGTCAACCTCTTAAAGCTGCTAATCTGTGCACGAACAAAGGAAAAAAGAAAAATAAAACTGGGGCGTTTTTCTCTCTAAGGGGATGGCTGGATGTGAGAGCGAGGGGTGGGAGCAGGCATGTCTTGGCATGATGATGAGGATGATGAAGGACCCTGTCATTCTTAACCTCATCTGTACCAAAGGGTTCTGTTTCTCAGTCACAACAATGGGGACGCAAGGCAAACCGTCCCAACACCCATCTGCCATGGTCACTTCAAAGCAGCCATTTTGGAAGCTCCGGAGCTGTGTACATAAAATGTTTTGCTCGCCACATTTCAGTCGGAAGGCGTTTTAAATGTTTCGCTCTCATTTCCTTCAGTTTTTTTTTTCTCTCTCGCCAGTGTGTGCTAAATGTGCGTCCTGTGATGCCGCGTGCCGGGTGTATTTGTGCTGACGCTGCAGATAACAGGGCAGAAAGGCTACGATGCACGTGAATAATCGCCCAATACAAAAGCTGCGTCGATGTCCAGCCACCAGAACTGTCTCACAAAGTGGAGTGGAGTGTGCCGTTAGCTGTGTCAGTGATTCTTAGAGAGATTTCCATTCTCAGCCATCCTTTAGCTCTTTGTGAAGCCAAAAAATGTAAAGGAAAGGAACACCTCTGTCCTCCTATTTATTCTCTGTGAGTGAGCGTTCAGAGCAACAGAGTCTAAATAATCAGATTTTATTTCACCATTATCCACAAACATTGAAGATAAATGCATTCTTCAATAGTCCTGAACGCATTCACATTCTTCTCCAGAGTTTTAATTTGCTTACTGTTTTTTGTTCTTTTTTTTTTTTGTTCTTTGCGTTAGAGGAATAGATTCAGAGATTTGTTGAAACTAACAAACCACTCTCGAGCCTTCTTGATTTTGCAATAATCAACACATTTAAATACAAAAAGAGCAAATTATTGAATTTTCTCATCCCCATGGCCAATAGTCATTAAAGAATCTCACAGTCTATACTGGAAAAGTGTTCCATGGTTTCGTTTGTCATTTGAAACAACTTTTAAAACATGTGAAAATGTCCAATTTCTGCATACAAGTAAATCTGAACAATTCTCAACTAATCATAAATACACTACAATGGAATAAAGAATGAGCATGTTGTTACTTTTTAGGGGTCATAAGTTTTATTGTTTTCTGGACATGTTTGGCGTTAGTGGATTGGTCAGGGTTGGTTAGGATAGTTTCATTAGGTTTCTGTCCACATGGTGCTACCGTACTATTACTGCTTTAGTTTCAGTTTTTCAGTTTTCTTCAGTTTTTAAAAAAAAAATCAGTAACTGGAATAGTTGTTGGACATGTGTTTGTGAGATTTGAGTGATTTCAGGGTTTTAAGACATGAAGAAAACAGGAAAATGCGCCACCGTATCAGATCTAATGTGTCATTTTTAAGGAGGAACAACAGGGCACTCAGTAACCAATGGTTGATTTTCAAAAGGCATTAAGTTAAAGGTGAGAAAAAAGAAAACATTTCCATTGGCAAGTGTCTAACAACAGCTTAGTTTTTTTTGTGATGGGAATTTTTACTCGTTCCTCCTCAAAAGGACTTCCAAAGATCCTCATGTCTTCTTTGGATGCTTAATGATTCTTAATAACTCTTGATTATCAAAAGGTAACTGTGAGGATCAGGACAAAAAGCTTTAGGATTTTCCTTTTCGATAGGGGTTATCATTCCACTGCAGAAATCAATCTATGAGTGATCTGCAGCTTTCATGAACTACAGTAAATGTTCACAGGCAGATTCCAGCAGTAGTGAATGAATCCGGCCTTCTCTGCAGCTCTGAAATGTTCCTGCACCGCGGGATGCTTTAACACAGAGAAAGCGCAAGATTAAAATATTAGCACTTAGTTAAACTGTTTCCTCTTTAACTTAATGCCTTTTGGAAAATGACGTGTCATTCGTCATCGTGGTCACAGGAAGACATGTGAACCGGGGTGCCCACACCTCTGCAGTAGACCACAGTCAAGGCAGAGTTTACACTTTATCCACTTAATCATGTCTGAATTTGTCACATTTCAGAGAAATAACTAACATACAACTTCAACCAGGAATTCCAACCGTTTACTAACTCTAATGAAGCAGTTTAGTGTCTAAAAAAAAGTGTAAGATTCACTTTGCTTCATTTAAACCAACAGTTTACCATTCGCAAGAACACTTGATTCTTTTTTTTCTACTTTGAATTGCCAGCCAGGAGTGTGGAAGGACAGGGATGGACAATCAAGATTCAGAAAAGGCTCTACAGCTACTGCCTCCTGTAACATGACGAGTGTATCTGTTTTGGTATTAAATTTATCCTCATCAGCTTCTGGTGATTTGTCTTGGATCTGGTGCACATGTGAGACGCGCTGTTAATCTTGTGGGTTCTGGACGCTGTGTATTTTGTATGTTCATACCGATGTAAATATGAGCAGACACTGTCTATGTAACTGATTTTTGCACTGTGAAATACTCGGACTATTTTTGTTACCTTTCTGTTCACTGTTTCGGCTCGTGTTCTGTCTCTTTGTTTCCTTTCAGCTTGGACTGGCATCATCTCAAAAGCTGATAAATACTGCTTTTTGTTAAAAAAAAAAAACAACGAAAAGTTTGTACTGTTTGTTTTTTTTAACTCATCAGCAATTTTAGCATAGGACAACCAACAAAAAACAACACATTGGTCCTTCTTCACTGAAGAATTAGCAATCAGAAGAAACAAGCTGCAAAATGGCTTTTTGGGTAAAAGAGGTATCAATTCAGCAAGATATGGACAATTTGCAACACTTCATAAATTCAGGATAAACTGCATTTTCCTTATATTGTTTTCAAATGACTCAATCCCATTATGAGCAGCAGCATACACTTTTTTTTTCCAACTCTCTTGCAACGTTCTCTCACGAATCGGCTGCGTTTTCCTTGCCAATGCTTTTCTTGTCAATATTTCAGGGTTGAGCGATTTTCGCATAATGAGCACGCAGGGAAAACAAAAGAAGTCTTACACCGGTCGGTGTCTTGCTTTGTGATCCTTCGGGCTTGGCAGCGCTTTACAACCACGTCTCATTGGAACGGTTCAGCTGGATCCACAAACCAGAATCCAATATTTGCAACAGGGCTGGATCTACTGTTGGTCTGAAGGTTGTTCTCTGTATAGACCGGGACACATTATAGTTGTTATCGCATTAGCAAGACTGAGATTGGCTCTATATGAGAAGGATTTTCAGCTTCTGTGTAGTTTCATGCTCTGTTGAATCCTTATTGCACGGCCAAGAGAAGAAGACATACATCAGGTTCCAATTTCTCAGCTCAACATCAATTGTATCAAAATGAGTTAGTCCAATAATGATTTGATGCAAAGTTTGATATGATCTTATCAATTTAAGGTCAGAGAAAAAGATTAAAGCGGTGATTGAAAAACAGAGAATATCCATAAGTGTTCCGCAGCTTCCTGCAAAGCTGTGGAACAATGCACCGAGAGAGGAGACAAATGTAAACTGTTTTGAAAAGTTTCCATCTTGGGAGCAAGTCGGTCTGGGAAGCCTCAGAAAAATGTCAGAGGCCGGCTATTTTAGGGCCGTCAGAACGTTTCGCTGGAAACGGCAATGTCACAGCACACTGGATCAAGCCCAAAATATGTCAGGAGAGTTTAGAAAATTGCCTGTAAAGGTGGTCATGTGTGTGGTTTGGCTCAGCAGAGTGAAACATTGCAGTGCGCGGTGGATAGATCAGCCGTGACTTCCTGGAAAAGCCTGTATGAAAACCACGGCGGCATTATAACTGCTCCAACGGCTCCATTAGATAGATTCGATGCTTCCACCTTATATTTGTTTCCTCTAAAAGCAGATTAGTTTTGTTAAGCTGAATGGAATCACATTGAAGTCAATTGTAAATATAAAACCAGTGATGAGTCGGATTTTGGCACTTTGCTGAGTAGGCCCAAAGAAACCAAAGACGGGAAGCATTTCACGCTGATGCGGTCACGCACAAAGACTCGGACCATAGGAGCTCTTTGTCCATTTTTTTTTTGGGCCGTTTTGCTACACCTCACAGTAGCTCCTATCTCTGCAGCACACACTCACCAAGCTCACTGTCCAGGCCCCTTGAGCAAACATGCCGGGAGCACCCAGAGACCAAAGATTGTCCAGATGTAGCCACAGGGTCTGCCCAAAGCGAGCAGGTGCACGCCCCGGACAGCCGGTCACTCAGCCCGAGAGGCAATAAAGGACGGCTAGCCTCTCTCAGCATTACTGGTGCCTTCACAGATGTGCAAGTTGCCATGAGCACTAATGCACCCCCATTCCATCACAGAGGCTGTGTTTTGTTTTTCTTTTTTCAACTCTGTGATCATCACAGGCTTGGTGATACCTCATTTCTCATAATGGACCTGATTCAGGTTCATACCTCGGCCCTGTCACTTGGTTCTACTTGTGCAGAAATAAGGCACTTTTGGACATTAAAGGGTTGTTGGTTGTGTTGCCTCTGAGGGGGGAAGGTGGTCATAGGGGCTGGCAAAGTGACCACTACTCTTTGATACCCAAAAGAAAAAAATGGGTACTTTATTTCATATGAATAATGACACAGAACAACTCATTTTATTGATAAAAGAGTCAATTTGCAATGTTCTTTTTGCGTTGTTGTTTAAATACAAGTTTTAGATTTGATTTTTGGTTGGAATTTTGTCAGGTTTCCAACAGATAACACTGCTGTTTCTTGTTATTTCTATCTGCCTGTGTTTTCTGACCGTTGGAATCAGCTGATCTGCCCGTAGGCTTGACCCATCCGACCGCCTCATCATGCGGTCAAAGCACCAGTATGCTATGTTTATTGGCCGGATTGTCTTGTTGTGTTGTGCATTTTGCTTAGACTTTCTGATTGGTTCATCCTCCATGGACTCTGGACGTTGTGCATCTTTCTTTTTCCTCCTCATCCTCCTTCCTCCCTTTTTTTTTGCTTACCTTGTGTTTTTAAATAACCCCTGAACTTATAAGTCAACCTAATTATTTTATTTTTTTTATTTTTTTCGACTTTACGGAGTCTCCGGCTAAACTTTTTGGCCGATGTTATGGCAATTTCCATACATTTCAAACTATTTTCCAGGACCCAGGCATGTAATTGAGTCATTTTTTGGCAAAAAGTGTGCTGTTTATTGTTGAGTGTCGTTGCTTTGAATAAAACAAATCAATCCAAATGAATATCTCTGCTCATTCAGAGGCTTATTTGCATCATCTTTATAGCTGCTCATGAGAGTGACAGAAATTAACGGATCATCGTTCACAATAATCCTGTGGAGGAAAATGTGTTTTTTTTCTATCCCTATTACTCCATGATTGGCGAATGATTCCCAGAAGCATCAAGTGACTAATCTTGAAACCATTGTGTCCTCTGCTGCCTCTAACAGGATTTTTCTAACAGCACTTTTGCACGTTTCAAAGGGCAAGGGAATTTATTCACAAACCCCAAAACAATTAGGGTTTACATTGGATTTCTTTTTTTTTTTTTTTTTTACTCCACTTGATAGAGTTTTTTCTCCTCCGGAAACAAACACTCCCCTGATACCTATGGAGAAAAAGTAGAGACAAGCTAATGAAATAACTCCTCCTTCAAGATAACAATTCAACACTTATAAATTATAACATCAGATGAGCTCTGTGTTTTCAGATCCTTTGAAGTGTTATTGGAAGACAACGCTCGCTGCATGACACTGTAATTATCCAGGCCCTCTTGGTTTAAACTCTTTGATATTGAGAACATAAGTGCCAGAGCAATGCCCTGCAGCGAATGGCTGATCTACTTGTGCGCTACATGCTGCAGCATCCATCAGAGCATCTTACTCTGAGGAAACGCAGAGGGACGGGAGGCCTCGGGCCTCGTTGCCGTCATTTGTAAGGAGTCCGACAGCACTGCTTATCAAATTTCCTGGGAATGTGGATCCATCAACATGAGCTGCTGAGCTCCTGACGTCATCGGGAACTGAGTTGTGACGTTTTGGGAGAAACCCGGGCAAGAAGCATCGTGGTTTCTTTTCAGAGAGGCCAAAAACTCACCTCCCGAATGCACCGGACGTCAGAAAAAGCTTCCGTTTGCATCCCGTCGGCGAGCCTGTCAGCCTGCCGAGGGCGTGCGATACATCCACAAAGATAACCGTCTCACTGATGTCTTTCTAATAGCACTTGTTCCCTCATTATGCACTGATGAGATTTGTGAGGCAAATCATTAATTACATGGACACTTGACAGCATATGCCGCAGTGCTGGAAAGAGCTTTTCCATTAAACAACTATTTATTTCTGCCGTGTGTGCTTCTGGTTTCTGTTCCTACCAGATATTTTTTAGCATTCCTAACAGCGAATGCAAGTACTCATTTTGGTGTCAAAATAATTACACAGACACAATCCAATTCTCTTGCTCCTACGGACACAGAACAACTCAGTAAAACTCCTACTTATGCGCTTAGTTGTGCTTCAGAGGAGTTTTGAATAAATCATTTTGCTTTGTGCTGACATCTCTGAGAGTCTGAATCATGCTTCTCCCAGCCCTCAAATGGTCTTAAGATGTTCGAGGAGTTATTCAGTGATATGGAATGTGAGACTAAACATATAGAGCACATTTAGCTTACCAAGAATTCAAGCCTGTCTGTCAGATAGCCCCAAAGATATTTAATGGGCGTTTTGATTTAGGACGAAAATTAAAGGCTTTAACGCTGGCGGAGTGAATCCAGAAAGGTCTTTTTTTTTTCTTAGACTGTTCTATAGTCAAGAGTCTAACATATAGAGCTGAAACACTGAGCAGAGTCCCAACAGAAGTGTGCAGAAAGCTTTCCTCCTGACTGATCCCTCCTGAGTAAACTGCAGGCGTCATCTGTTTGAGCCTCTGATTTCAACATCTGCTGTGTGAAAACCCCGAAAATGCGCCGCTGTAATCATTCTTTGACACAGAAACCGGCCAAAAAAGTGCTCAAACTCACAGGGCCGAAGAGCCTTGTTAAATGCAGCTGCCGAGGCCAGAGCTTCCCCTTCCACGCACAGACTGCACTTCTCGATTTTCCACAGTGCTGAAAGCATTTTATGAAGGTTGTTGGCACAGCAGGAGCGGCACTTATGTTTTACTATTCCTGCAGAGTGAAATCACAAGAGAGGATTTTACAGCTTTCATAAATGTCTGGAAATAAGTAACAGGTGATTAATATTCGCATAAATTTCATGTTTCCTTTGTTCCACTGGAGTCGTGCGAGAGTTTGCGAGACATAATCTAAACGATTCATGTTCTTTTCTTTTTGCGGACCCAAAAAAAAAAAGGCATATTGGAATGTGATCTCACAGTGTTCGTTAAAACTACTGGTAAAGGAAGTTTTTCTGGCTATAAAACCCCAAAATAGTCCATCCTACCAGACCAGTGGGTACAGAGGAGACACATGCTACCATTCCTAAGGAAACCCAGTTGTTTATTTGAAACAACCTCTGCTCTCTCCTGCTATTTGATAGACTTCCTAACCACCTGAGAAGATTTAGGCATTAAAAATGTTTCATTATTAACATTTATTTATTCATTTTAGACTTTTACTTATATCGAGTGACACAAAGCTGTTTATTGTTACTTAACGGACGAATATAGGAGTTCAATTGTTTCTGGGTTATTTAATTTTTATTATTTTGTAGTGCCATGGCTGTAAAAGGATCATGATCAGTTTGTCACAATTTATTAACGGGCATGTGAGGAAGAAACCGTGTCTGAAGGAGGACGTACTCCATTTTAGTAAATTACCAGAAGTAAAAAGTCATATTTTAAACACAAAAAAACCCATCTGATCTAAGATTCTAAGCTAAATCATTTAAGCCTGAACACGCTGCTTTGTGATATATAAAAAAAAAAGGATTGAAAGGCTGAAATGAACCCCAGAATTCTCGTGTTCGTGACGTCCCCCACTAGTGAGCCCTCACAGCCTTTCTGTGTATGGGTGCTCTACACGTAAATAGATCACTTCAGCATAAACAGCCCAAACACTTCAGGCCCTTCACGTCCTCAGGCTGTAATCACACACTTTAAAATGGTTACCCCGCCCCCCCCGGGGTAATGCACCCAGCAGGGTTTGGAGCGCACAACACAGACCCACAATCCAGACATTGTTTACATTTAGCCAGACCTGCTTACATCACAATAACGGGCACACGACCCAATATCAAGCTTAAATCAGGCTTTGGATGCAACTTTCTCAGTCCAAAAGCTCATAAATGTGTCCTAAAGCAGGTGATTAACATAACAGAGGACCACACATGGAAGCTACAGCTCAGAGACATGACACACTGGAGCATACTGAAGCTTTGGACCAGACGGGATCTGCTTACTCTTCGTTAAGTGTGTGCGTGAAAGCGTTTTGCTCACAGTGACCCGGACAGAATAATTAATTGTGATGATGACGGATTGGGGGGGGACATCGAGAGAAGCAAAGTCAGAGGCAAAATATTATTATTTTTTATGTAGCGAGTAAATTGTGTTTTTTTTTAGGCCTATTCTGTTCGAGAGGAACACAGTCAGCTGCCACCTGTGCCGATATTTAACAGAAACAACGCCAACGCACAAGACAGATGTCTACCTTGGAGTGTTTTCAGACCTCAAGACAATTCCAGTGATGATTTGAATATCTGAATAATATTGGTGGAAGCATAAATTGGATTGGAAGGGAGGATTTCTCTGTATGCAGTTTCCATCATGTTGGCACCAAAGCTAAACCTGTCAGCAAACCTCTAGTAACAATGAACTCAGTCTGGGTATTAAGAAAACACACCTCAGCCGGCCTGATTAACAGCATCAGGATGAAAATTGGCAGAAGCTGAGCAACATGTGTGACAGGCCATTAAAAGGGCTGATGGCTATCATTACAATTCCCGATATGTCTGAACTAGATCTCCCGTAAATCTGACCAAGTTCAGAATGTTGTTTTCAAAATAACGTTAACAGCAAATCTCTTTCTCAAAAATCTAATATGATCCGTACCAAAACAGCGTAAAGTAAACAGCAAACAGAATATTTAACCTTCGGACATTCCTCTCAGAATCGTGTTTAGTCACCAACGTCAGAGTCTATTTCCAGATTTGGAAAATTCCACACTTATTTCGGACCACAGGAGGATGAGACTGATGACTGCTGATGAACTAACCATGGAGAAGACTCACAAGGGGGATGGAATTAACAAAAAAAGGCTGATAAAAGAGGTGATGAACATGTTGTCAACGCAGGGACGTTCATCATCAAATGTTGAAAGTAGAACGATGATTCGAATAAACATTTGTTACAATTAAACTTGTTATTTTTACTAGCTTAAAGCTCAAATGGCCCTTTATCCCTCAAACGCTCATGTGGGAAGGAAAAGAGGGACGGTATATATGTTGTATATATATATATATATATATATACATTGTGAGGCAATTAGTAATTAGCATTGTGAGAGACTGAAGCAGGACAATGGCTCCTTTATTTATGGCATGTCTCTGTACATTGAGCCACCATTTTGTTTTCAGCTCTGTGAAAGGCTG